TCTATGATTCTATGATTCTATGATAAAATAAACACAGTGCCCTCATTAGCTTTTTTCCCAGAAGATGTGCATTTTCATTCTATTTTTTGTGATTCTTTTGCTGATGCTCTCCTTTGACAACAGCTTTAGGACCTTCAACAATCTTCAACAACCTTTGACAATAATTTTCCCCCTTACTGATCCCCAAATGTTTATCTTTAGGAGGACAGGTTGTTTGCTTAAAGCACTTAACTCTCTGTACAAAATTATCATGTACAGATCCTGAAACAAATTTGAAATAGAAGAGAAGTATCTCAGCATGAACACAGGTCAAAAAAACCTTTGGCCAGTTCTTGAGCTGGTTTTTTTTTTTTTTTTTCCCCCCAACAGTGTTACACGAACTGTGTAACTGACTTTGAGAGTGAAAGCCTCACTAGTGATTTGACACAGATCATTAACAGAATTAATCCTTTTTTTTTGTTTTTAAGATCACTACGAAGATACTTGTATTTTCAATGAATTTTGGGAGATGCACATTATTTTCATATCATAGATGCATGGAGAGTATAACAATTTTGTGTTTCTGGACACTTACAGGGGATGTGTAGACCAACATATGCAACTAGAAATCACGGTTAGGTATTAACATTTTATTTTTTTTTTCCACCATGGGAGTGGTTAAATGCTGAAACACAGACAGACTGTGGGGTCCCCATCCTTGGAGCTACTCAAGACTGAGCTGGACATGGCCCTGTGCAATCTGATCTAACTAGACCTATTCTGAGTAGGGGTTGGACTAGATGACCTCTGGAGGTCCTTTCAAATCTAAATTATGATTCTATGGCTATATTGCCTTTGGCAGTAGGAGGCATACATTTTTACCAAGCAGAAAGATCTCAGAATTATTTTTTTAAATGCTCTAGAGGCATAGATCAGCTGCAAAATTATCTAAGGCTGGATCAAAAAATAAAAATGGTACAGTGCTAGTTATGTGCCTCCGACATAACAAACCTTTTAACAGAGTCATTTTACATTACCGATTTTGTACATCTTACATTACAGGTTTTGTACTTCTTACATTACAGATTTCTTTTCTTTAGATTATGATGATTTCTTGTTACATGATACTCTTGTTACATGATTTCTTGTTACTCAACAACTCACAATATTCCTTTCAATTCCCAGCAACCCTAAACATGCAAGAGATTCTTCTCAATATGTATGACATACCTGCATAGTCCTGTCCAATACTGGGTGATGGTCGTGGAATGAATCATCTTCCTGCTGTTGATTAATCAAGTAGGAAATTGAGCTGCGTATGTGACTATCTTGGATGCTAATGTATTCTCTGCACCTTGTGAGTACTTTGACAATGAATGCAGTTAACCTGCACAAAAGAACATGTTCCAAACTTGTGCTGACATATATTTATAGAAGAATATAGTGACAGGAAAAGAAACATACTAATTTTGTACATAGACCCATATTCAATACAGTGCATACACTAGAACCTAGTGAGTTATCATCCGACATCAGCATGAGCATTTCTACTCTTTAGCAAAGGCAAAATAGTCAGTGACTCAGTATAAATCTCCTTCATCAAGGACTAAACATGCTCAAAGACTTACATGGCTGACTATCCATGACAAAAGTATGTAGGAAACACTATGTCCACCAGATTTTGAAAACCTATCCCCCCAGAAAAACTTCTGATGCATCAAATGATAATAGAGGTATTTTGTAAAACAAAACAAAAGAAAAGAAAAACACCACCAAACAACGAAAAATACACTTACCATACACTACTGGGGGTTGTTTTAAATGCTCCATAGGAGCCATCTACCTTCTGAAACTCAAGCAGTCTAGTATAGCCTGCATGAACAGGACAGCATATCACTTGTCAGAGAATACACATATTTCTTGGGCATTTTCATACATCACTTGTATTAACATGGACACGTTCAGTTAACATGGACATGTTCAGTATTGGCTAGTGGAAGAGTACATGGAGATGTTCACTGGTACGTTAAGGATGAAATGACTGCATCAGCAGAAAAAAAACTGGGCTTAGAAGGTGCTCTGTCTTGTCTGACTTAATAGTACTATGAGAATAAACTGAAAACTGCAGATATCTACAGTTACAAGCATTTTCTGTGTAGTGGATCTTGGGAAAAATGTTTCCCACTACTGACAACTTTTCAAGCTGTTGACTTTATGGTGTATAGAACAAAAAAATATACAAAATGTCATCTCTTGGGTCAGACATAGGCTTAGAAATAATGAGTTGTGCCCTCCGATCTTGACTATTATCTTGACAAAGTCTATATCATAGCGACACAACTCATTTTCTACCCTGGTGAATTTTGACAAAAACCAATAAAGCATAACATAGTGACTAAATGCTACTGATAATGCCAAATACTCATTAGCAGGATCTCATGTCACTTTAGGTAATCTTAGGTAACAGGCAAAGACCTTCATTCAGCAACTGTTAGCAGGTTTTTAATCTCTATTTATACTATGTTGTCTGAAGATCATGAAGACAGGTTTATTATACTGCTTTATGACATCTGCACACCACACCAGTTAGAAAGGTCAGCTGTACCTGCTACTATACTGATAACTCTTGGGCTCTATGCTAGTGCCTGAGAGCTGGAACATCTCTGTTTGCACATGCTATGGTCCTGGCTTTGCTGTGCATTTAACACCAGCTTTGGGTCGTGTCTTGTAGTGGGATTTTCAAGAAACAACTTTGCAGTTGTCCTAAGGAACCTCCCTCTCTGGGTTGGTCCAAGCGTATTGGACTCATTCTATCTAGCTCATGTAATGACTACAGGAGTGTGGAATAGAAAGTGTCAATATCATGATTACCATTTGGAGTTTCCGTAGTGATACTCCTCTCGTCGACTACAGACATCTCCAGCAGAGATGTCTACATCCCAGCTGGCCATCCTAAGAACTGTCTATGATCCATGGGAAGAAATAAGCATTTTTAGGACGTGATTCATCTTGACCTATTTTGCACATCTACACTAGGAAGAAATGATCAGCTGGCATTTGCTCTCCATTTACTCTGAAAATAATTCATAGAAGCATAGAATCATAGAGTAGTTTGGGTTGGAAGGGACCTTAAAGACAATCTACTTCCAACCACCCTGCCATGGGTAGGGACACTTTCCAGTAGACCCGGTTGCTCAAAGCCTCATCCAGCCTGGCCTTGAGCACCTCCAGGGATGGGGCATCCACAGCTTCTTTGGGCAACCTGTTCCAGTGTCTCACCACCCTGACAGTAAAAAAATTGTTTCTAATATCTAATCTAAATCTACCTTTTTACAGCTTAAAACCATTACTCCTCATCCTATCACTACACTCCCTGATAAAGAGTGCCTCCCCATCTTTTCTGTTGGCCCCTTTTTAAGTACTGGAAGGCTGAATTGACGTTGACCAGCTCAGATTTTACTTTCTGTTTCTAAATTAGGCAGGAGAGAGCCTGGTCTGTGAATGTCAGTACTGTACAATGTCAGATGTAGCCAGTTAGTCACCTAACTCCTCTTCACCAGTTCTGTTTCTCATGTCTGTCTGCAGATTGTCAGAGGCATTTCTGCGTGGCTGTGTTAAGACAACACTCACTCCTTTGGGAAGCA